TCTTCTAATTATAAGGCTAGTGAACAATATAAAAAAAAAATCAATGTTTTTCCATCTTGGAATTGAAATCTATGATACTTTTAAATCACTAAATATCAAATCTAATTGGGTAAGACATTTTATTACTTACTTACTTACGCCTGTTACTTCCAATGGAGCATAGGTCACCGACCAGCATTCTCTAACCCACTCTGTCATGTGCCTTCCTTTCTAGTTCTATTCAATCGCTGTTCATTCTTTTCATATCTGTTTCGATTTTTCGCTGTAATGTATTCTTTGGCCTTGGGGATTTCAGGTGAGGGCTTGCCTTGTGACTCAATTGGGTGCTTTCCTCAATATATCTCCTATCCACTTACAGCAAAGACATTACATAAATCTATTCTATTCATCATTTACTGTAACGATATTCGTTTTTATTTAGATATTCCTTTGTAAAACTACGTTTAATGTTATATTAATGCCTCGAACAAAGAGAAAGTGAGTGTGTGTGTGTGGGAGAGAGAGAGAGGGAGTAGTGACAAGGGTAACCATATTTATTTATCCCACTTAACAATCGATATTGTCATCAAGTATAGTATAATTATTTTTGACTAAATCTATGCACATACTATTTTCTTAATTCAGTAGTAGTTATTACTTATTTTTATTTTATTGTCTTCATTTATTTTATTATTATTATTATTATTATTATTATTATTATTATTATTATTATTATTATTATTATATATTCATCATTTCAAGTTGATGTCTTTTACCATTCATCATCATCATCATCATCATCTTCTTCTTCCCTGTTTACTTGTCATTTTGGTGTTTATCAATGGAATAAAAGGATTGGTACAACCTAGACATGAATAATAATAATAATAATAATAATAATAATGATAATGTTTATAATCAATCGATCATTCAACCAATCAATCAATCAATCAATCAATAACTTCTGATTATATATGAATGATTGACTTGATTATTGTTTATCAATGAATTAATTAATTAAATAGGTCTTGAAATTGATTGAATTTATTTATCAAAATTTGTTTTTCTCTTATTTCGATTTATTTTTATCTACTTTTCTTTTTTTACATTTTCTTTATGTCTTCATTAATTAGTTTGATGATAAGTAAAAGAAAACAAAACAAAACCTTATTTGATGATTAATTCAAGTTGCATTGAGTAATGTAGATAATGATGACGATTTGGACGACTTAGATGATGATGATGATTTGGATGACTTAGATGATAATGATGACGACGATTCGGATGATTGAGATGATGATGATGTTGATGATGATTTAGATGATGATGACGATTTGAATGACTTAGACGATGATGATGTCAAGTTGGATGATGATGATTTGCGTGATGAAGATGATGATGATGATATACAAATGAATTACTTCTCATTTATATTTTCCCTCTAAAAAACATTTTAATGAAAAGTCAATTTAATGTAAGGTTTCTAATTAGGCAGGTCACTGTCAAACATTTAACTTCATTTCATAAATTTTGTTTAAATGCGATTTGTAGTAAGCGAGAAGAAAATTGAAGACAATCGAATTTATTTCAACACCAAACTTACAGAACAACTTAGTAACATTTGAGAACCAAATATAGTCAATACTTCATTTGTAAGATGTTACTCAATCATCGTAGACAGTTGTTTTGAGTTCCAGATGTACTTCAGTTGTAAATATACTGCTCTTGCTTTGACGATCCGCACCTTTACACCAGTATCAGATCCACCATGTTCATCATTGATGCTACTCAGATATGTAAAGACTTCTTCATCTTCCAAAGCTTCCCCTTTAAATGTGATTCGATTGGTGCATGTTGTGTTGTATGGAAGAATCTTGCTTTTCCGTATGTGTATGTTGAGACCTACTGCTACTGAGGTTAATAATGATAATATACTTGTGTATAATATATTCAATGTACAATGGAAAATGATTACAATAGTCTGAGAATCATACAGTAAATATTTCATTTGCAAAATATCCATCAATTGTCTTAGACTTGATTGTTCTTTCATTTCCACAACAAACATTCTCTGTTCTCGTTCTCTTCTCTTAGATCTTCTCAACCTTCTGCTACCAGGTATTTCACTTTCGATCGATGATCCATATTACTTATATCTATCGACATCAGTAGCACACATCACACTATATGTTCTCAATTTTATACTTAATGCTGTTCATTAATATTCATTCAGGAACTAAACTTAGTAACCTATTCTTTTACTAAACTAAATCATAATTTCTCTATGAGAGCTAATCAAATCGTACTATGTTGTTATTACTGCTCAAATCTCTACTATTCAGAATCATATTTTAGAATTATAACTAGTCAACTATAATCTTAATCAAGTATAATCTTTCATTTAGAGAATGAATCAAACGAGCGAATCCAATTCAGTAACAATAATAAGACTGATTCACTTGTACCTTGATAAGGTTAATTCACATTTGTGAATTATACAATTTCACAGATTGAAATCATGAATCGATTGAAGCTAGACCACCATGGAAATCGTGGAAGGCCGTCCCGTCCTAGGATGGAACTCCTCAGCATTGCGCATCCACGATCCCGCACTCCACGGGATTCCAAACACAGACCTATCAGTCTCGCGCTAGGTGCTTAACCAACTAGACCTCTGAGCAGATGCTGATAGGTCCTGGGTTCGAGTCTCGCGGCGTGCACGATCGTGGACGCGCACTGCTGAGGAGTCCCATACTAGGACGAAACGTCCGTCTAGTATCTCTAGGTTTTCCATGGTGGTCCAGCTTCAAATGACGCATGATTTCAATCTGTGGAATTTCTTAAATCTCCACAAACCCCTTCTGATAATTATACATTTGTTAATATTGTAGTAGACGAGAACAAACAAGTGAGGACAATCAAAGGTATTTGAACACAGCATAATAGAATATCTTAGTATAATCTGAGAACCATACAGTGAATTCTTCATTTGTAAAGTGTCAATCAATCGCCTCAGATCTGATTGTTCTTTCGTTTACACATCAATCATTCTTTGGTCTCGTTCTCCTTTCTCTGATTTTCCTATTGTTCTGGCACTAGGCATTTCATTTTCGATTAATGATCTATACTACTTATATCTATCGATATCAGTAATACACATCACACTACAACATGATAAATAATCTTTCATACTTATACATTTAGCAATTAAAATGAACTGAACATACGAACAAAATTAGTATGTGTAAACTGTACTTATACTTAAATACATTTAAGTAGTATATGGAATGTAAAATAGATGAAAACATACTACTCAGTTTCAAGAAACTATTCAATTCATTATTCGAACTATGAGTTAAACAATTAGTTATGAATGATCCTGTAAATAAAGATATCACCAACGGTTGAGTGTGAACTAGTAAGAAATCTATTATCAGAATAAGCTGTTGATTCACATCAACCCTCAAACAACAAACAATATGAAATACAATGTCGACTAACCTTCAACTGTAGATGTTATGTAACTTTAACCGGGAAAACGAAATAGCACTATGAACTAGATAAATATGATATGAATAAGATCACAGGTAGGGACAAATGAATGTATTTAATAGGTGAACTCATGAGTCAATCTAAGCTAGATCACTATAGAAAACCTGTAAGCATTGGACGGTCATTTCTTCCTAGTATGTGACACCTAAGCAGTATGCATCTATAATCTAGTATGTGGGACTCGAACCTAGGACTCTTGGTAATTATGAGAACCATACATTGAATACTTCATTTGCAAATTTTCATCATTTTTCTTTCACATACTGTACAATTCTTCCAGTTCATAATTGTTTTCTAATTCTACTTCTGTTTTCTTCAAGTTGACCTTCATAGCCTTCTGCTACCAGGGTTTCCACTTCTGATTGATGTTACATACTACTTGTGTCTGTCGACTGATATAAGTAGCATACACTACAATAGTTTTTACTACTTTGGATAAAATTAATATTAATTATATTATTAAAACCGATGATCATATAACATCAACAATCATATCATCTTGAAGTCTTCATTTGGCAATTTCTAATCATTAACATTTACCGAACTTGAATAACTTTCATGTTTATTAATTAGAATTCGTTAATCTGTTCATCTAGAAATTCTCATTCATATAATAAATTATATTGGAGCTAAAATAATCATAAATGTCCTGGTATGACTGAAAGTGGGGAGAGTTAACTCTTCCTTTCCAAATGCTCTCACATGGCAACGTGCATACTCATTGCGTTCTCACGGCATTACTTTTGTTTACAAAATTGAGAGGACGAAAAGCGAATGCCCATGCGGGTTGGTGGATATGGAGGGTAGAAATAGGGGACTTGGAAATCCCTCATTCCTTATCAATGGTGTACATGGACCCCAGGATCCTGAGGGAACGAATGGCGTCTGAACCAATTGTTAGTCACCGGTTACCATGGAACTTCATCTCCTGACGTTGCTCCACTTCCTTGTGGATCAGACTTATGGGTTGAAGGCCGCCTAAGAAAGTCACCTCTTTCAGTTTGGGCACCGGGGCAATATCCCAGCGCTTACACAAATCAAGTGAGTTGTGTGGCGCATATATATTGGATGTCTGCTTGTATCAATGTTTATATGTTCAAATGAATGAATAAATAAACAAAATTATGGTTGATGTAGAGTAAGTGGTTAGAGGAAATAAGCAACATTCTTAATCATTGAAAAAAAGGAAGTAATTTATCAATAAAAGAAAAAAATTTTTTGTGACATACCACCGCAGATGAAGAAACAAAAAAAAATTTCCTTTTGAAAACTGTAATCAATCAACGAACAACAACCATCATCGCAACATGATGTGAAAAATTCAATGTTTATCTATATGAGCTTGTCTGTTTATTTATTTCACGATTCATAGTATACTCAACATATGTATATATTTATGTATGAATAATCTAAAGACAAGAAAGAAAAGGGTTGATTTCTCTTGTTCCAGTTGTTGAACATGTGAAACA